AGCTCTAAACAGAAATGGAAGTGAGCCAGTTTCCTTGTCAGCCAGCATTCTCCAAGATGTTATTGTAGTTAGCAGCACTGGACAGCAAAAGAGTAAAAAATCATCTCAAACAATCACTTCTATTCCACTTCTATTTTCCACTTCTATTACCATTTGTCTCCATTACAACTCTTGAATGTGAAGAAATGCATGTTTTTACATAACTGCATTAAGAAATACCAGCATAAACCCAGTTAAAGACAGATACACTATGTAATGCAAACGTAAATCATAATTGCTATAGACTTCCAAGTTTGATGTTCAAACAAAAACATTGAAGTATGAGCATCTTGAAGCTGGGATTCCCACAGGTGTCCAGAGGATCCCAGGACACAGCTGCCTTCTGCAATGCCTTCCCATGGGAAGAAACCTGACCACCTCTAAGCAGCACCACAGACAGGACCCTCTGGCTGCTGCAGTGTGAGGGGTGAGATATGGGATGCATGGTCACACAGAGCCACAGACTGGTTTGGGCTGGAAGGAACCTTAAAGATCATCTCATTCCAGCCCCCTGCCATGGGCAGGGACACCTTCCACTAGACCAGCTTGCTCAGAGCTCCATCCAACCTGTCCTTAAAACACTTCTAGGGATGGAGCATCCACAATTTGGAAATGCTACAACCGGAGTTTCAAAACACCATATTCAGGCAGAGGATTTTGTTTTTTTGATGTATACATTTAAAGACAGTTTTTATATATACACAAGTATATATACACAAGTGTATTTTTCAGTTTTCATGCATTTCTCCCCACCCTTGAGGTATCACTGCAGATTTGGTGTTAGTACTGTATCTCTGCCAGCAGAGTTCAAATAATCATTTTCTCATACTCTAATGAAATTAAAAAGAAGAACTTTGTTTCCACTAACACACAACACGTGATTTCCTGGCTTATGCAAACCAGCCACATATGAATTCAAAACATTTCCTGTTTCAATCCACTGATTACTACTGTGACACCTACTCAGAAAAGCAAACAATGCACCATCTCTGATGCTTGCTTCATCTACACAGGGCAAACAAAGCCCAACATTAAAGTCCAGCAGATCCTGCCCACCAAGATATTCTAAATCCTATGTACAACTTGAAAAACACTGTCCACAATCAGCTTCATTTTTCAAAATGTTTAGTATTTCACATGTAAGCACTTTGCATATTTTAAACTTTAAGAAGCACTTTAATATTCTGTTGTGTTATATCATCTGACTATGAACCTTCAGACACAAAAGCTAGTTTGGCAACAAAAGTATTCAGGTGTAGCTTAGTACACTCAGCTTCCCTGAGCGTGAATCCTCAAACTAAGTGAGCTGGATGAGCCAGTGCAACAGGAAAAAAATACTGCCCTTTCCAGAGACAACATTTCTCTCACCCCTTTTATACTGAAGACCAGAACTACTAAACTCTGCTGAGCATGTTGCTCTTTCCTTGTTCAAGAAAGACAGATGACATTTAACATGGTTAAGTTTAAACCTGCATATTGGCTTTCGTTATTCCAATGCCCACTTTATCTTTTCTTCTCCCCTTGCCATCACTCTTTCAGTCAGCTTCAGAGAAATAGATCCTATAATCCATATGTTTCACTCCTGAATAAATTCTGGGACAGACACCACAGCTGATCTCCCAGTTACACTCAAACCAGCGTTTCTGTGAATTAACTGAACTTAGTAAGAAGCATAATCACAGTTTATTTCACTAAAATATTAAAAATCTATTATTAGAAAAATCATGATGGAACCTGATATCTGATAAAAACCAAAGGTTTTATGGCACAGTAATCGACTTCCTTAAACAGAAATTCAACAGTTATTTAACCAAGACAGACCACAGACTGAGCTTTCTACATAGCAGTATTCTCTACAAAGGACTATAAAAGAAACACAATTCCCCCCTGCCCCCCCCAGTTATGTAACATTACCAAGATACTGTCCAAACATAATAAAGGTTACAAATAAACACTCCAATGTCAGGAAAGTAAGGGCTGAGTGATGTCATAACAATAAACCAGAAATGAGTCATTATTAGAGACAGGGATGGTCTCCAAGTCCCCCATTTCGAATTCCTCCTCTTACTGACCCAAGCCAATCAACAACATCACCATCGAGACACAGGCAAACTTGTACAGCTGCTGAACTCACAGATGACAGGAGCTGCAAAGATTCACCATCACTAGATTACACTGTAATTAAATGCAGCTAAGTAAAATATATTTCTGTAGTATTTTGTTCACTGACACCTGAGAAAGTCTGTTTCGAGGGCTCAGCTGCATCAGTTCCCAGCACATGGATTTGCCATGTCCAGGTTTAAGCAGCCACATGCTGCTGGCATGAGGGGAAACAGAATTGTCCTCAGCAGTTTTGTTAATATGATGCCCTGCTAAAAAAAGAAAGCTGGGAAGCCTACTTCCAGAATTTCATAACTAGACTCACAAATCAGAAATATACGTAGGTCAGAAAAGACCTTCAAGATCACTGAGTCCAACTGCAAACCTAAGACTGCCAAGCCCACTGCTAGCCCTTGCACATCCATCTGTAATACTCCTTTCTACCCCAACCCAGTTCCAGGTGCAGACTGCACGGTCAGGAAAGATGGAAGAAGTGCCATACATTCCAATTAAGTCAGACAGCACTTAACACATGGAAGTTAACAGGGTGCTGCAAACAGTGGGAGTACTCAAGCATCCTGCAAGATGCTGAGCTGTGACTAATAGCCTGCCTGCTCTCCAACAGCAGCTATTTCCTGCTTCTCTGAGGGAGCAGTTCCACATGCACATCAACACCAAAAATGAGCAAGCCTGTTTTAGCTGTTGCATGAGTACCTTTTTAGAATTGCCTACTTCACTTCCTGAAATACTTAATATATGTATGCGTTTCAATTGCTGACAGTTTTAAATATGATGCTACATAAAAAGACAAACTATCAGCGAGATCGACACTCACTTGTAAGTGTGGGATAACACATGTACAAGAGTTGATGCATCTTGAAGATGATTTTGTTCAACAAGTTTTAATGCATCTGCACTCCATTAAAACATAACCAGGAGGTCAGTATGAAAACATCCAGTATAACATTTTGCTTTAGTGAATCACTCAGCTCATGCTGTACCCAGGGCAGCCAAAAGACTTATTTGAGACACATAAAAATCAATCTTTGTCACAAAAAAACACAGGAATGTAGAGATATGTCAAAAGTAGAAAAAGCATGACCACAGGTATGGTAAAGAGCTGACTCATGTAGTAGTTCAGCTAAAAAGCCTTATAATCACTCTATATAAAAAGTCACTGACACAGCCTCTGCCACCTTTAAGCCTCTCCTCCCTATGAGCAGTACCAGTACGTCTTTTCAAAGTGTCACACAAAAGACAGACTATCAGAAATTGAGGCGTTTTGATGTTAACATGATCAAAGATATGTATACTTTTATTATGCAAAATAAAAGAATTGCAATGGCCTGTGTAACTTCAGGGAAGCTTTTATCACTATTCTATTCCATGCAGCCTCCTTTTAAAATTAACTGCAAATTTAGAAGATTATGCAAAGGTTTGACCAGATTAAGTCTTTCCTACATCAAGGCTATTTAGAACAAAAAATCCCAAACCTATTCCACTTAAAACACATGATCACTTTGTAAAGTCACAGCCATAACAAGCAGCTTTGACAAATCCACAGCTTATCTCAAACAACAGAGCACAGAAACTATACAGCAATTTTTTAATGTGTTCTATCACTTTCAACACTTTCAAAACAAAACTAGATTAGAAGTGTAATGGAAGCACTTAATTCTCATTGTGTTGGTATGTTTTTAAAGACTAGAGAGAGAAACATCCTCTCTCCATACTGAGAAGTCTAAACCTAACATTCTAAAGCAATAAGAAAACTCAAAGGAACAGACAGGTTGTCTTAGGTTAGACAGCTGCTCTTGAGTTTTAACAAAAACTGTAAGTACACAAGCATGTCTCTTCTAAACAAAAGCAAAAAGCATGACAATTACTTCTGAAGTATCAAAGTAGGGGTCAGTTTGAAATACACTGCCTCTACTAGCAACAAAAGTCTACTACCTGTTATCAAGAAATGATAACAGAAATGATGGGACTAATCACATAACTGTAAAGATCTTCATATTCAATTGCCTCACCGCAACATAAATTACTCTGGATAGTCATATCTACATATAACTGGGGAAGACCACACTATGTAAGGGGAAGAAATTACTTTGTTGCTCCAAAGACAAGCAATTTGACTTAAAAAAGGACAAAGATAATCTACTGCTCATTCATGCATGAAGAAAAGCAACAAGGTGGGGAAATTCTTTACCAAAACAGGTTTAAAATTTTAAAAATACTATTGTAGAAGCCAAAATGGTTCTATAAGTTTAGTCTTTTAAAAGATGGCAAAAATTCCTACTTTACAATCTGCTGACTTTAGGAAGCTTTGATAATGAACCCTATTTTATCACATTACACATACCAACATTTTATTAAAATAAAAATAAATTTTGAAATTTATTTCATAATTTCAAAAAGAAACTATGCAAACAAAAATTCTGTTCCCCTGAGCAGATCTAGTGAAAGCAAAGTGATCTGCTCCCAAAAACCCCAAATATCATGCTATAAAATTTGCAACTTAAGCTTGCTTTATACATAGACCCCCTCTAACTATTGAGCAAACCCACTGAATAAAGGCAGAACGTGATTCAGATCCCAAGTACAACATCAGAGGTCTAATGCCAGGGGATGGAATAAACACCAGGGCACTTCAGAGGCTCTGGAAAGAGGGAGCTCACCTTCACGTCCGGAGGAGCAGCGCCCACCTTTACCAGAAACGAGCTAGAAAACAAACTGATTTAAAACTTTACCTACAGACAGACGTTTCCAAACCCGCAACCCGATGGAAGCTTTTGAGGAGGTGGCTGTGCGCCCAGCCCCCGGCCGGGCTGGCCAAGGAAGGCTCCTGCTGCCAGTCCTACCTTCGATGTTCAGCTCGAAACAGACGTGGCAGAAGGAGAGCGTTTCCTTCTCGGTGCCCAGCTTGCACACGCTGCAGATGTTGTCATCGTCCAAGTCGATGCTCACGAACTGCTCCTCGTTCATAGTGCCCTGGGGAGGGGGACGGCGGCGACAAGGGACGGGAGGGTTATCGCGGGAGCCACCCGGCCGCAGGTCCGCGCCTTCGAGGGGAAGGAGGGCCCCGGACGTGGGCGGGAGCGTCCCGGCAAAGTTTTCCCTTTAGAGAAACTGAGGCAGGCCGCACAGCGGGGACCCAAGACTTCCCCCTTCCCTCGCCCGAAGGCTGCCCCGTCCATCCCGTCGTGCTCCCCAGCAACTCCATCACCAGCTCCATCATCGTTGCCCCCTCCCTCCCTCCGCGCGCCGGCAGCGCGGACGCCCCGCCACCGCCCGTACCGCGACATCCCCGGCTCTGCCCTACCCCATACCGCTAATCCTACCCCGATCCCGAATCCCAGGCCCGATCCCGAACCCCAGCCCCAGCCCCAGCCCCGGGCACCGCCCGCCGCTTCGGGCCGCCACCACGGCCCGGCGGCACGGGGGGCACCAGCGGGCTCGGACCGCGCCCCGCCGCACCCGGGCGGCTGCAGTCGCCTCGGAGCTGGGCAGCGAAGCGCGAGCAGCCAGGAGCTCCGGTTTCCCCGGGCCTCGGAGCGGGCGGGGCGGCGGAGAGCGGCCGCGCTCCCCCCGCAGCAGTTGGTCTGCGCCGCGCGGGCGGGCGGGCGGGGCTCCGGGCGCGACTGGGGCTGCCCGGCGTGAGTCACCCCGAGCGCGTCTGCCCCCAGTGACACTGTGCCGAGCGCGCCCGGCAGCCGGGGCGACCAGGTTTTGGTAGAGGTGGGGGCTGAAAAACAAAAGGTACAGTGATGGAATGTCGATTCCATTCAGGAACCGATATTAAAACCCGGCCAGGGCTCTGCTGGAGCTCCGAATCACAGATGCTGGGTGTGGTTGGAAGGGAACACAGAGGATCATTGGTCCCACCTGCCTGCCCAGGCAGGATCATCCCAGAGCACATGGCACAGGAGTGCGTCCAGATGCTTCTGAATATCTCCAGTGAGGGAGACTCCGCACCCTCTCTGGACAACCTGTTCCAGCATGTGTTCACTTGCACAGTAAAGTTCTTCCTCAAGTTTAGGTGGAACTTCCTGGGCACCAGTTTTTGCCTGTCTACTCTTTTTCTGTTGGTTGGTAACACCGGGAAGAGGTCGATCCTTTCGTTTGGGGAATTTCTACAATTGACGGAAATTACGTACAACACGTAATTGGTCCCACATGTCAAAGTGGGATTATTTATGGGAGAGCTAAGTAATCTTCCAGAGGCTCCTGTGTTGAAACACATAGCTGCAGTTTTGATTGTTTCTTTCATTGTGTTTTCTTGGGGTGTTTTCTTTGATTTTATCAGAAAAAGGCAAATGCATGTGATGCCATCCAGAGGTGACTGGACAAGCTCAAGAAGTGGCCCATGGGAATCTCATGATGTTTGACAAGATGAAGTCCAAGCTGCTGCACCTAGATTAGGGCAACCTGAGCACCAATCCAGGCTGGGGATGAACAGATCCAGAGCAGCCCTGGGCAGGACCTGGGGGTGCTGGTGGGTGAGGGGCTGGACATGCCCTGGCCATTGGGAGCCCAGAACCCCCCGTGTGCTGGGCTCATCCAAAGCCCCATGGGCAGCAGGGCAGGGAGGGGATTCTGCCCCTCTGCCCGGCTCTGCTGAGACCCCACCTGCAGGGCTGCATCCAGCTCTGGGCTCCCAGCACAGCAAGGACAGGGAGCTGCTGGAGCCAGGCCAGAGGAGGCACCAAGGTGATCAGAGGGATGGAGCAGCTCTGCTGTGAGGAAAGGCTGAGAGAACTGGGATTGTTCAGCCTGGGAAAGAGAAGGCTTTGGGATGACCTAATTGCAGTTTTCCCAAAGGGAGCCTACAAGAAGGGTGGAGAGAGACTCTTTACAAGGATTTGGAGTGACAGAATAAGGAGGAATGGCTTCAAACTGACTGAGAGTAGGTTTAGATTAGATATTAGGAAAAATTCTTTATTGTGGGAGTGGTGTGGCACTGAAACAGTGCCTTGAACATCCACCTGGAGAAGTTGTGGATGGCCCATCCCTAGAAGTGTTTAAGGCCAGTTTGGATTGGGGTTTGAGCAACCTGGTCTAGTATGAGGTGTCCCTGCATGGCTGGAACAAGAATATCATTAAGGTCCCTTCCAACCCAGGCCATTCTATGCTTCTATGATTTTCTGAAAAAAAAAAAGTCCTGCTGTGCTGGCGTTCCATCCTTTACTGCTCTTAGGTAGCAAGTTGACTTTAGATTTGCTTCTGTTGGAGGATGATGGAGTATGTTTCATTGCAGAGCTCGCTGGAATTGTCCTCAAATGGTTTCTGCCACAAGCTGAGAACTGGGTCTGGGAGAGGGATGCATTTCCTTCTCTCCTTGTCATCTGCTTTTTTGATGAAGGGTATCAAAGAAGCGGCACCTTGGCTTCACTGCAGAAGAAAAATTAAGACAGAAAAAGGCACATCAGCTTGGGTCGGAAGATTAAGAAACGGAAAGGGAGACTGGACAAATGGTGGTGGAGCTTTATAAAATCTATAATTATTGAAGTATTTTCCCCTCCAGAATCTGATGTCTATTGAGTCTCAACAGCTCATTGCCACAGTGCAGCGGCAGCTGCTGTGAAATCCAAGGGCAAAAAAGTCATGAATCTTGTTAATAAATGACGTGTGGGAGACAGTGTGGCTCTCGGTACCTGAGCTGCTTTTCTTGTCAAATATTGCTGTAAAATATAGAGGTCATTGCAGTAAAAATAGTGAAGGAGAACTAATGTTTCAGGCACAAGTTTCTGAAAAAAGCTAGCAAATACCAATATGAAGATTGTGAAATTGTAGCTGCTGCCGGTGGTGTGGCTTATATGTATTCATACACATTTGTATTTCCACCCTTGGTTTATCAGTGCATGTGATTCTAGCTAACAGTTTACTTACACTGGAAAATTATTTTAGTAGGAAACAAATCTGTTCTGTCTTTCTATGTTTCTTTTTCCCTACTGAGTTTGCATTTTCTTAACAGGGAGGCTTTGGCAGTGATCATGTTTCACTAATTCCCACTGCTTCACCTTCCCCCAGCTGCTTGGTCATGTTCCCACACTGTTTTCTCTCGGTGTTTCTGTGTTTATGAGGAGACACAAGGGACTGGATCACTGGTTTAAAGTTAGAGAGTTAATTCTGCCTCAGGCTGATTCACTGTGGTTCACAGTGCAGCCCTACAAGCACTGGGGAAAGGCAGATGAAGGGGTGATGCATAGATTTTAAGATAGTGTCCAGAGTACTCATGACAATGAGTACTCTGGACACTATCTTAAAATCATGGACTGAGTTCCATCAGCGTCTTCCCTCCAAATACCAAAGTTTTGGAAAGGAAAGCTTGTGGCAGTGTTTTATAAACATACTGAGTTCCAGTTTTATGAGCAAAGATTTAGGAGTTCTAAAGCTAAAAGGCATTTTTACTGAAAAATATAGCGTTAAACAGGAATCCAGGGGGAGGTGGGGCAAAATACTGCAGTGGAGATTTCCAGTGGAGACCACGAATAATATTGACACGGCCCAAATGAAAGTATCTGTGTAGGTTTGCATATTAAAAGAGACTCAAGAAATGAGAAAAGTTTGTCAAAAATCTGAATGTTAAACTTAGAGTAGGTGAAGTAAATCTGCCTCCCTGAAAATTAAGAAGTAACATATTGAAATCAGCCTGACTTCTTTGTCTGCCCTCTCTGCTTTCTCCCTTCTGCTTTCCCCTGTGTTTGGTGATATTTTTCCCCTCAGTAGGTCAGGCACCTGTGGCTTTTCCAGGCACTCTGGCAGATCTTCATGTTCCTCAGGCATTTCTGTCTGAAGTTAATAAACACATGCATTTTCTCCAACTCATCTGTTTTGGTTTTTTTTTTTTTCTTTTTGTATTCTGGTGGATTTTTTCCTAGTTTCTTTTACTTGTTGCTGTCCATTTTTTTAACAGATCTTTTGTTCTTGTGTTCTCTGACCTTTCCTAGTTTACTTCATCATTCACTCCTGGAAGACAAGCATAGATAGGAATGATTGGCTGTACCCCCCATCCTGTTCCCACTCATCTATTTCATGACCTGTTATCTCTTATTCTCTTTCAACTTTATTCAGTGTGCAACCTTTACTATAATGTCCTATTTAATATCTTTATTGACTGGTCTTTGGCCCCTTAGTGTGTGGCATAAAACCTAATTGAAAACGGGCAATTCCACATTCCCTGTCCCTGCCACTTCCTTTGTGTTGGATCTGGTGATCCTATGGCTGCTGCAAGGTGAAATGAGTCACTGAGGTGATACAAAAGAGAAGAAAACAAAATTAAAGAGAAAAATCAAGGACTTTTTTCACCAGCTCATTGAAACGTCTTTATGTTCAGTTATATCAGTGCTAGATGTGGTGTAAGGATTTTTGGGGTGGGAATGTAACTGACCTTTCAGCAGCTTGAATTTCATCAGACTTGATGTAACCACTAGTTTTATCTTTTGCTCCTAGTCCTTCTGTTCCTTCATCCACTCCCTTTGCTTCATCTTCGCTCCAGGCCCTGATCTTATGATCCTCTTTTTTGACAGCAATGCTGGTTGAAGTATTTATTCACTGCTTCTACCCATTTTCCACCCTGGTTTTTTTAGAGTTTTTCAGAGATATGTGCTGAAAAGTAACCAGCATCTGTCAGATTCCTGTCCAGTTTCCTGCATGACGGCCCAGATCCTCAAGAGAGTGATAGTAGAGTCAATTTAAGCCAACTGTCTGAATACCTGGGTAAAGACATCCAGAGAAAGACCAGAGTCTTTCTTCTCCTGCCTTTTTTCTGGTTTTCCCTTCTTCCTCTTGTGACTGTTTTTCTCCTGTCCCTTTCCTTCACGTCCCTCCAGTTCTGCCATATGAAACCATACAGTTTCTCCACTCCTCTTTCTGTAAAACACCCCTGTCTGTGCTTTAGCACACCACCAGACTTTATCTCTTATCTGTTCTTTTTCTTCCCGAGCTCACTGATCTGCATGCCTTCATTAAGGTCTCCTCCTGTGCAAGTTTAGTTCTGTTCATTAATCACTGGCAGAAGATACAGGGCTGTTCAGAACAGCTCAGTAAACTCAGCACCAGACTTAAGAGAAACCACAAAGCAAAATTTCAAAAGCTTACCATAATACCACTGGTCTGATTCACAGATGTCATCTCAGCAAAGCGGTGAGAAAAGGATGGGTTACTCATTGGTTTTTGGCTTCATGATTGGCCTCTGAAATGAAATACCGAGCTAGTGTGGAAAAGTATTCCTTGGAAAGTCATGTTCTGTATTTTTTGAGGTTAGAAAAACAAGTCTGCGATTCATCTAATAGGCCACAAAATGAAGGAAGCTGAGCCAACCTAAAATTACATGAAAGTCACAGCAAACAAGAGTGA